ATAAAGTAATTAAGTAAAACGTGAGAGAGTAATAGAACAAATTCATGTAATTGAGTTGCGCAAGCGCGCGAATGGCGCGGCTCACTTTCGCGTATAGCTCTGGGGTAGCTTAGTGAACGGGTTTTATTGCAATTCGTTCGGGAAAAAAGTTCGAGAAAAGTGAAAAACCAGCAGTCAATAAGAAGAATATAGGGAAGTGATAGGGAAAAAGTGATTACTCTCTCACGGAACGGTTTGAAGATAATTGCTGTTTTATTCCCAAGTAATTCATCCCTCAAGATTATACAGTCCACATCGAAGAATTAAGGCGTTGGGACCGGGACGACTTCGGAAGACCCGTAATCCCCGTCTAACCCTACTCGCTGAAAAGGAAGAGGTTATCGCCCTTGTGTGTTACTCCGCCAGCGGAGATCACATACGTTGTTCCCGAACCCAACGTAGGCGTTATAGGAGGCCGGATCGAGAGAAGCCTCGATTCCTCCCTTCTGTTTCTTAATCGAACGTTTAATCCCCGTTGGTCCTTTTCAATTGGTCCTTCGCGGCCAGATCAAGAGGACTCGCGAACCTGGGTTTCTTTTCAGACATATTTTCAATTCTCCTATGCGAGATTGTCTTCCTTACCTCTATACCATGACAAAGACAATTAAACCGAATTAAACAACTCTTTCGCTCATCTATGCTTTCGCTTCTCTTTCGTCAATTTACATATCTATATTATATATTCGTAATCGTAATTTGGCACATCCGCCAACTCGATAAAAAGACAACTCGAGTTAACTCGAGTTGAAACTCACGCAACTCGAGTAAAACTCAGATTAGCAGGACCTAACAGAGTAAATAAAATGTTACATATTATTTTTTTCAAATTTGTTTTTCTGTCTAACCCTATGTTGGTTTGGGAAAAATATTATTACTACTTATCTAAGTGGGAAGGATTGAAAAAAAGTAATCACCTATATTTAAAAGCGATAATTCTCGGTAGTCCTCGCCGTATAGCTAAATTAGATTTTAATTTACTGGAGCCTATTGTTTACAATAGCACAATTATTCCTCTTAGTCAAGTAGTTAAAGACCTTGGGTTAATGATTGATGCTAATTTAAGTTGGCGTTCTCAGGTGGCTGAAATAAGCCGGAGAGTGACAATCACCCTGCGTGGCCTTTATCGTTTCAAGAATTTCCTTCCAACCGAGACTAAGGCTATGTTGGTGCGAGTGCTTGTTTTACCACTCATTGATTATGCTGATGTGTGTTACTCTGATGTGAGTCAACTACTTCTGTGCAAATTGGATCGTTTATTAAATAATTGCATCCGTTTTATTTTTGGCCTTCGTAAATACGATCATGTATCCATATATCGTTCTAAGCTTAAATGGCTCCCTATCCATCAGCGTAGATGTATCAAAATTCTTCGCACGCTTTTTTCAATCCTATATGATCCATGCACTCCCCAATACCTGAAATGCAAGTTTCAGTATTTGGGTTCTTCTCACGATCGTAACCTGCGATCCTCCGAGGGAACTACATTATGTGTTTTACCTCGCCGTACCAAATTTACGTCTCAGTCTTTCGCCGCTGAGGCCATAAGGCTATGGAATAAATTACCCCCCTCATATCAGAAAACCGACTTCTGTTGCCACATTTAAGAGGATGGTTACTGATCACTACTTTTCTTCTTCCAGCAAGTAACTTTCATATTTGTTTCTGCTTATATGTGACTTGACATCTTAAATTATTTAATTTGTTTTAGTTATGGTCGTATGTAAGTATACTTAAAATGTATGTATTATGTACTATTTATAACATTATGTATGAAATGTATCATATATTACTTAGGTTAATTGTAGTTGTGTATATTTATTTTTGTATTTACACTTATGGTATGTCTATTTATATATTTACATTTACGTATAAATTATCCACATATTTTATGGCACCTGCTAAAGTTCTCTGCTTAGCCCATGGTTGACTGGTAGAGAATGCCTAAAGGCATTAAGTCCGCCAATTGTACATTTTAAGTGCAATAAAGTTTTTTTAAATTAAATTTAAATTAAATTTATCTAGCTTTAAGTTGTAGGTACATAAGCTATTAATAGTTTGATCACTGTAAAAAGGGTTTCCGGTTCTCTACACTCACCATACGAAACATAGCAGCATTACGCTGCTGTTTTACGCTGGTATTCTGTGAAAGCGTGATCCTGCCACGGTCGAGCCGACTCATTCGTGCTACAACTATAATATAGCTGCGGCGTGGCTCTACCACGTAAAAAAATAGAATTAAGATATAGGATACACTGACTTAAAAAATATTTCAATCAAGTATTTTCTGAATTAATAAAAGAAAAATAATACTCAAAAATTAAAAAGAAGGCAAGAGACCTGATGGTATGACATTGGTCCCTCGGTAGAGAGATGTAGGATGCTACTTGCGGAGATACCTTGGTAGCCACTTATCTCAGGGGTTCCTCGTTTAAAGCAGGGACGGCATCAGAAGCGGCTGATTTAAATGAGCGGTGCAAATATGTGTCTCTGATAAATGGCTACATATTTGTGTCACTCGCTGTAGAGACTATCAGTCCGTGGGGTCCACGTGTAGTAAGGTTTCTAAAGGAAATCTATCCGCGACTGGTCGTTGCTGCTGGTGATAAGAGGGTTAGTTCTTTTCTCGCTCAGAAGCTAAGTATCGCCATTCAGCGAGGAAACGCAGCCAGCGTTTTTGACACGATACAACGAGGAGTATTATTATATGATAATTTAAGTTATTACTTTTTTTATTTATTATAGATTTTTTCCATATTGTAGGGGGAGGTCCCCGAGAACCTGACACTTAAGGAACAATAAAAATAAAAAAGAACGTATAATAGTCTCATTTGTTTATTTCACTTTAATAAGTTCACAACTATATACTTAATCGTTACGGATATATCAACAGCCTCAAATCTTACTTTAAATGTAGTAGGTACTAAGGAACATTTAACATAGAAAAAAGGACGTTTTTAAAAAGGTCCCCTAATGACGGACAGCCAACTTTTCGTTCAATTTTAAACCTAAACATTATTTTAACAAACAATTCGTAAGAATATCTATTAAAATTGATCAAATCAGCTGTTTATAAAGAAAACTATTCTTAATTGTAATTAACTTTGGTCATAATTAGGAACGGTTTCTAAAAAATAACAAAACTTTCATTGTACAACGTGCAAAAATCACAAATGTAGCTAACTGAGCTTTTTTCAATATTTCATGTTTGGGGGTATTCCCACAACTCGGTTTGGGTTTGTCCATGTTGAATCTGAAAAACAAAACACAAAAATAATAACTACAACAAAAATAAACTTACTGTAAAACTGTCCGGGGACTTTGAGAGTGTCCGAACTTAGGGACCCTTAGGGACATACAAGAAAAATTCTCATTCGCATTATGTGTTATTAATCTTAAAAAAAAACACCTGGGTTATATCAGATTAGTACAATAGCAATAATAATTAATAACAATGATTATCATCCCATACTTTAAATACTGTTTACAGAACCCAAAAAATTACTTCGAACAAAATTTTTACTTACCTTAAAATTTGCTACACGCTCCACGTCGAACGAGTCAGCACTAACTATTGACACGCTCCCCCCACACTTCACTTGGGAAACGCTTTCTAACCACGACTCAAGCAACAAATTGGCGCGCTTTTTCGCACTGATTCAGATTCTGTCCGGCTTTAGGAGCCGTCCGGGCTTAGGGGACTTCTCCCTATATATTTCAATGTTATGGAAACATTGAATATGAGAAAACGAAATACAATTTCTTGTAATTTAACATACTCATAAGTATTTTCAACACAAATATTATCAAATAAACAAATAACTAATCATACCTTCTTGTAAGTTAACGTATCTATAAATAAGTTAGTATTTTCAGTAAAAAAAAATAGTATTCTGAAAAGGACTATCCATGCACACAACGAACCAATCGCGCTCTTACTCTTTCGCTTTCACTCACTCGCTTGATTCGTTTATGTTCAGCCAGCCCAAACTCGGGTTAAGATCCAACTAGATTTAACTCGAGTTAAGCGCAACTCGAGTTAACTCGAGTTAGTAATCCTTATATATTTACTATACTCTTTGGTTAGTAACTCGAGTTGACCCATCGCTAATTTGGCGTAAAACAATCCATTCAACCATTCATATCGGGTATGTTCCGAAACGTTTTCAGTATACTGTCGATTACAAATGACGTCATCAATTGACACTATATTGGGTGCGTTTGGCAGAAAAAAGCGCTAGCAAGCGCTTACAAGCGCTGAAATAATTTTCGGCCAGGACACGATTGCTACTTCAGTAGCGCTGACACAATCTGCCATTTTGCTTATTTAATTTGTTTGTTTTGAAGTAGAGTTTATAAGTTGTTTTGTGCAATATTTTAGTTTTAAGTAATATAATGACTGAATAAACATATACATGTTATTAAAAATTCATGATTGGTAAGTTTTTAATATGAATACTTTACAAACATATGTTTAAATTAGGTTAAGTTCCCCGGTTAAAACTAATATCGTGTCCTGGAGGAAAATAGCTGCTTACGATTTGACAGCGCTTACCGCTTACGATCGCCATTTTGCTTACAAGCGCTTGCTAGCGCTTTTTTCTGCCAAACGCACCCATTGTACTGGCGTGCCGCCTCCATATTGCGTCGGATATCCGGCCATACAAAACTATTGTGCCGCCGTATGAAGCATGCCAAAATTTGTTTTTATGCTGCTGATGTCTCTATTAGGAGGATATAATGATTTTGGAGCACAAAATGACAAAATAATCGCCAACACTTTTCCAATTCCAATATGGCGCAAATGTATGGCGTCATATACTGTCCTACCTTTGGAACGAATCACCAGTATAGCGTCGATTCATGACCTCATTTGCATTGGACAGTACACTGGGTTCTATTTTGGAACATACCCATCATTTTGGTGCATAATCATAGGTTATGTTATTAAAACATTTATTATTATGCCATTAATTATTATATGTGGAACACCAACAAGTGGCAAAACTACAAGAGCAAAAGAATTAAAAGAGTTTTTCGAAAATAAACATGGAAAAATCGTTGAAATAATATCTGAAGAAGAAGCAATAACGAAATTAGGATATGAAAAGAATGCCACATATTTGGATTCACAAAAGGAAAAAAGAGTTAGAGGATATTTAAAGTCAGAAGTCATCCGGCTGATTGGCAAGGATAATGTAGTAATTTTAGATGGAAGTAATTATATTAAAGGTTAGTAGTAAACCTTATCAATCACGACTCTCATTAACTAAATCCGTTTACAGAGAAAATCTCGACTCTACCAAAAGTTCACAACCACAAATTTTGTGGTTGTGAACTTTTGGTAGTTTTGTTGCACAAATTTTAATATTTTAAAGTTTGAGTTTAAAACTCAAGATTGTTTCTTAACTAATCTAAGACAGAAATTCAGAGACAATTTCCAGCTTCAACAATTTCTAAATTTGAGCCCAGGCCATACTTATCACACAAATTTAGCCATTGTGAAGTTTGAGCCTTAGATTAGGCTTTGGTAGCATGTGTTACACAGCTTTGAACTGGTTCAAATATGTAGTCACACAGACTTAAGCTGCTAATCAAATATTTACCATGCCTTTAAACAAATGACAAATATAATATAGCTTAGGGGATTTAATTATTGTGGAATTATTTTTGTTTATATTCTGTCAGTCCTGGTTATTTAGAGCTAAAGAGTAAACATGGATAATACTACTCTTACCCTATATCAAATTATATCTATGTATTGCATTTGAATATCAGATAATGAATCTATATATTTCAATATTATATATCAGGTGAAATCTACATGATTTTGTAAATTTGTAAGGAAGTCTGTACTCAGTACTACACAATGATATTTGATTTTTGATGTATTTGGTTTGCTTAGATACAAAGAAATATTGTGATCACTAAGTATGTTAATTTGTATTGGTAATAATATCCATGATACTCTGAAACTAGTATATTCTGCTACAAAAAATCCTAGTAGATATATTTGTTTTATTCGATTATAGTATCTTGCTTTCTTTCAAGCCCAAGATTAGTTTGAAGTTCAAATCAGTGTATCATGTTATAGCTATTTTTCTTGTATTTTATGTTATTATTATATCTTTGAGTTGGATGTTGTCAAAAAGTACATAAATCACTGTTTGATGTTCTGTTAAGTGATGTTGGTAAAGCCAACATAAGCAATTAAATTGCGAGGGTTGTCACAGCGGAAAGTAATAAAAATAAGCAACAGATTTTTTATTCCATGTTTAAACAAATAAAATAACTTAATCAGTCAATTGTTGTTCAGATAAAATAAAAATAATTTATAATAACCAGTTACAAAAAAATTAATTATAAAAATAATCATCTGTCGAATAAAATATAAACAGTATATAATATATTCTTGAGTAATAACAACATATTTAACACCATAATTTTTTATTTGAATACATGTTGAAAAGTATGTGAAAGTTTTCACATATATTGCATAACTGCATCCATTGAAATCTTTTCTTTATTTTAGGTTACCGTTATGAACTTTATTGTGCATCCAAAGCATGTAAATCAACACAATGTACAATTTATACTATTCGTAACTATGAAGAGGCCTGGAAAGATAATGAATACTGGTTAAACAAGGCAAATAAATGTGATTCAGAAGATAACAGTAATTCAGGTAGCAAAAGAATACCTTATACTGAGGAGGTATTTAATGCCTTAACAAAATTAAGGTTAGTTGCAATATTAATTCTACTACAAATATTTAAGCTATTGCATGTGTAGCAACGTAAGAGTATCTATGGAAGAAAAGATCAGTATCTGCAATTTTAATTAAATACATAATTAAGTTATATACTAGCTGTATACTGACTTGTTTTCAATATGAAATACCGCCTTATTTGCAGAACCATAGCTTTTGGCAAAGGCCAAAGATAAAGATCCTACTGAAATTAATAGTCTCTGAAATATCAAATGAATGTATTCAGCAAAGAGGCAAACATTTTAGTATTGTATTGTGTAGTTTAGTAATGTATTGGTAAGGTAAAAGCAAATTTATTTAATCTTTATTGTATACTTTATACTAAGGGATAGTAGTAAGGGGGCGGACTTAATATCTTATGGGCATTCCCTGCCAGTCAACTCTGGAGGCAAATATTCCTTACGTTAGCAGAAGCCTGCATCCAACAGTGGACTTTTACGACTTTTATGAGTTGTATACATTTTTAATTTTTCACAATGTCATAGGACTTTTTATCTTCCTGTGAGTTTTAGGATAGACACCACCCACACTGTGTTCCGGTCTGAAGGGTATAGAGTCAGTATAATTACAAACTGTGAAGCATTCCAACTTAGTCCTCAGGCTTGGCAATGTACCTGTAGCCTTGTTTGTATAAAAACGGCTACAAGTAGCCTGCAGTAGAGACTTACAATCAGATGGACTGTAAGTTAATTTGTTATTTCATTTAAAAAAAAACCTTGGAAAAAAAGAAACTTGGAATCCCATGTCAATCATTTGTGTATATATCTTTTGGTAAGGGCAGAGCACATGTTTAGTTGTCATTTAAACTAAGAAGGTGGTCTTGTAATCTTATGTTATATGAAATTCAAAGTTGCAATATCTTATTTTCTAGGTTTGAGGAACCAAATTCTAACCATAGATGGGACAGTCCACTTTTTACCGTACAGCCTAGTGACAATCTAGATTTTGAGGCTGTTTATAGTGTCCTATTTGAAAAGAAACCACCCCCTCCTAATATGAGCACGCAAAATGTAAGTATAGCTTTTTTAGGTTTCGAATTCTATAGAATCATTATGTTTTTGTTTAAAAAGTATTAATGTGAATAATGCTATAAACATTACTAATACTCCAGTTAACAACACAGTAGGCTTAAATTGTATGTGTCTGAGTTTCATCAGTCTTGACTTTCTGAATTTAAACATTTGGCTACTGTTTATAGTATAGCAATTTATTTTCTAGCCTCCACTCAGTTCAACAAATTTCCTGTATGAATTGGATAAAGTGACACAATCGATATCCAAACAGATATTGGAAGCAAAACAACTGGATCTAGAAGATGTTAAATTCCCTGATTATCCAGGTTGTACCTTAGAAACAGGATTTATTCAAATTGTTAACCCTCAGAAGTTACTGAGACTGAGAAGACAATTTTTAACATACGCCAAGATGAACCATTCAAATGAGGATGCAAATAAAATTGGAAGATATTTTATACAATATTTAAATAAAACTCTTACTGATTACATAACATTTTTTATTTTCGTTATTTGACTTAAGGTTAAGTAAAATTGAATACATGTTTTGATGATAATTCAAGTAGTGGGATTTGTGAAGATGTTCCATGGACATTCATGTAAACTGAGTTAAATATCAGAGGACTGTCTGACTTGTGCCTTTTGATTAATATTTTAATAACTAACTAAATGTAGTCAAGCCATCAATTCCTGAGCATTAATGCATGGCAATGTTGTTCGTGTTCTTATGGTTGCATTTCAGTAGGTCTGCAGGGTTTCATCCTGATTCCACATTCTCATATCAAACATGCGAATTGTTGACGCCAATTATTAAATACTAGCTTCTGCCCGCGACTTCCTGTTGCTTATGCCAGCGACAACGGGGTCGTCAAAATCGAAGATCTGAAACGTCTGATGTTGAATTCTAAGAGCCCAGGGACGGGAAAACAACGTGACGGTCTAGATCTTTCATTTTTGTAAGTCATCAGGAAATGCCCATCAGACTAAACAACTTTTGCTAAGACATCGTTCCTATATATGTTATAGTGTCGCTGGGCTTTGGATGGAGTGTAACTCCTTGTGTGTTATTAAGTTAATATATTGGTAATATTGTTTAGATCACGTTCACATGAGGCTTAAGTACTTATAGAACAAAAATACTTCAGCGCAAAGCTTCCGGGTAAACTATGTTGAAAGTTGACCCGTCCGACACGTGAACATTAAGATTTCTAGAACTGCTAACCCGGGAAAGAGCGACGTACAACTGACCATGCGAGAAACAACTGACATCGAGATCTACTCCATCAACACGAAAAGTCTGCCCTTGAGCCTTATTAATTGTCATTGCATAACACACTGATACTGGGAATTGCGTTCTTTTAAATTGGAATGGAAAATTATTTGGTATTATGGGAATTGTGGGAATAAAGACGGTTTCTCCTGCACCGCAACCTGTTAAAATTTGAGCCTCGATTATATTTTGTTGCAACTGGGTTACTTTTATCCGAGTTCCATTTCAAAGTTGTGGTGGTCTTAAACTTCGGAGCAGAATAATTGGAATGCCAATTTTTTTAAACAAATTTCATGAGAAGGAAGTCCGGGCATATTTAAAGAATTTAAAAATTCTATCGGGTAATTAGTGGCTTCTTGTTCATCGACCATTCTATTTATTGAACTATAAACTTTGCTTTCCCCTGTATATTTGACAGTATTTTGTTATTAATCTCAGATGCCTGGTCATTCCGAGGAGTTAAAATGGATCTCGCATAGCCAAGAATTGTCCCTATTTAATATAATTGTTACGTTACCGTAAACCGACGATATAAGATGTGGTTGGGATTGCATTCAGGCGTCAGAATAAGTTTTAAAAAGCATCTTGAGTACGTTCGTGCATGTAGCGTGGACCACCAGTAAAAGAAGAGGCTAAAATAACTAAACGGCCCATATTCACCGTATCATTATCTTGCTGCATGGCGTCGCGAAGGTGCACGTATTCTTCAGCGCGCAGCTGCCTTTGATTAGATCGTATATAAACTAATCTTTCGGTTTCAATTTTTGCGTACATGTCAACAATAAACTGATTGAATAAGCCACGAAAACGTTGAAAGTATACAAATCTATTCCGTCTCACTTGCAAGTGGTAACAATAAAATTGAAGGCATGACATCTTTTTATTATAATTAGGTGCGCCTGTACGCGGATCAGTTTAGTATAAAGCATTTTGACTCGAGAGTAAATCAAAGGATATTGCAAACTGTCGTAAGCCCTGTGGGTTTCGTAAATACATTGCAAACGATTGTCTCTGGAATGGATAACGATATCACGCCTACCACATTCCTGGTCGACCAATACTATAGCAACTTCATTCGTTGATGGAACGTTATAACGCCCAGGGTGTTCCTGATTTGGACGCCTATCGGCATTTATAACAATTTTATAATTATTATCTTATATTCGACTTTTCGTTGTAGTCGCATACAAAATATATTTGAAGAAACTTAGGTTGATCTTCAGGCAAAAGGGATCCTATCTAATGGTAAACCTGACCTTGTATCTTAAAAGGAGGCATGAAAGGACCTTCTGAGATTTATTGAGCACCAAAGGATGTCATTTGAAATGCACTATTATAAGTGCGAATATTGTCTAAGAACTGTTTAGATTGCACATGTTCCCCTAAAAGTAGTGACTTCAAAGGTTCCGGTGGATCTTCCAACGAAGACAAATTTATTTTACCTCCAGAACAACAGAAACTAGCCGACTCCTTACTCCACTTTGAAGCGTTACAAAAAGAACATACTACGTTCATATCGCCTATTACAGAAGATAATCTGTAATCAATTGTGAGGTTATAAGCAAACCCACTTTTATATTTGTCGGACCACGCCACCGAATTTGTAGAATGATCTCTATGTGTACATCTAAGTCATTAAGACTATGTCGAAATCTGTCAGCAGTAAGACAGGTCTCTCGCTGTTCGTCCGTTTCAAGAGACCGAATATTTTCAATCCTTAATCTTTCGTTAGACAAACTTATTAATCGTTCTTGTCTCAAAGAATTGTAATATTCGCGTCCCGACTCTAGTCGTTGTTCATGCATCTTTACAGTGGTAGAGCCACACGGCAGCTTTGGTGTTGCACGTATGGGCCGGCTCAAACCGGGGTGGTACCACGACCTCACAGAATACCGGCGTGAAGTGGAAGCTCTGCTTCCGCGTTTCGTCTGGTGAGTGCAGGTGGCCGGAGGCCCAAATCCCCCCCCATCAATATGGTAGCGGAATTAAATGATGATAGACTACCCCAAGAGGGTACCAGCACCCCTGGAGAATCCCTCGCTGAGCATCCACGACCATGTTTCTCCACTTCTAAGCGTGGATGCTCAGGCTGCCCCGCGTATTCTGGGGAAGGGCAAAATTCCGCTCAAGACTACAACTGCTCTGGGCAAACGGAGCAACAAGACCAAGGCGACCCCTGCCACGCTGTCCGTGAATTTCTGCAATATCAGGGGACTTCACTCTAACCTAAACGCCGTCCACTACCATCTCGAGACGGCGAGGCCGGCTCTGCTCTTTCCGACCGAGACGCAGGTGTCCTCTCCGGCTGATGTCTCGTATCTTTCCTACCCGGGGTACAAACTGGAACACTCCTTTGTGCCTCGGGCTGGTGTTTGCGTTTACGTCAGAGAGTACATCTGTTCTCGACGCCTCGGCAGACTTGAAGGTTCGGACCTGTCCATCCTTTGGCTACGCGTAGACAGCGACGACCATCCGCGCGTCTACGGGTGCCTCTATAGGTCCCATAGCGGTAATGCCGAAACAGACCGACTCTTCGACCACGTCCAAATGGCTACAGATTCATTGCTACAGCAGATCCACTCCGCAGAGATCGTGATCCTCGGCGACTTTAACTCCCATCACGCCGAATGGCTTGGTTCACGTTTAACCGATCATGCGGGGAGATCTGTTCATGATTTTGCCTTGGCATATGGTCTGACACAACTGGTTACTTCGCCTACGCGGATTCCAGATGTGGAGGATCATTCATCTTCCCTGTTGGACCTTCTGCTGACCTCTCACCGGACGGATATCAGGTTTCCGTCGACGCTCCTTTAGGCTCCTCGGACCATTGTCTTGTTCGGAGTGTAGTGCCACTCACGCTGAAATCGCAGTTGCATTCTGCAGGCTGCCGCCGTGTTTGGCACTATAGGTCAGCCGATTGGGATGGGATGCGGTCTTTCTTTGCATCCTACCCTTGGGGGCGGGTATGCTTCTCGCCGGACGATCCTAATGTTGTTGCGGATTCTGTCGCTGATGTGGTACTTCAGGGTATGGAACTTTTTACTCCTTCCTCTGTGGTGCCCATTGGAGGCAAATCTCAGCCATGGTTCGGTCGCTCCTGTAAAATAGCATCATACTATAAGCAGGAGTGCTACCAAGCCTGGGCTGACGCATCAGCGTCCCGGGATGTATACAGCGCTCTAAAAAAAGAAGTATAATTCCGCCTCTAGGTCCTTCAAAAGAGTCATTGCCAAGACAAAGTCAGAGCACATAGGCAGAATTGGCGAGAAACTAGTTCGCCTTCCTTCTGGAACCCGTGCATTCTGGTCTCTCGCCAAGGCTGTCCAGGGGAATTTCTGTCAGCCATCTCTTCCATCTCTGCACAGGGAGGACGACTCACTGGCCCATACCGCAAAGGAGAAAGCCGATCTTCTAGGCTCTTTCTTTGCGTCCATCCCGCGGTGTGAGTGCTCCATGCCGGAAGTGCAGTTCACACAGCACTCGGTTCGCAAAGCACTCCTCTCCCTGGACATCCACAAGTCGAGTGGGCCTGACGGAATCCCCCCAATTGTGCTGAGGACGTGTGCTCCAGAGTTGGCACCGGTTTTAACGCGTCTTTTCCGGTACTCCTACCCCCTAGGCGTAGTCCCAAAATCATGGAAGACGGCTTTCGTCCACCCGATCCCTAAAAAAGGCGACCGCTCAGACCCGTTCAACTATCGGCCTATCGCCATCACCTCCTTGTTCTCCAAAACAATGGAGTCTATTATAAAGGATCACCAGCTGATAAGTGACCGCCAATACGGTTTTCGCCGTGGTCGATCAGCTGGTGATCTTCTGGTCTACCTAACTCATAGATGGGCGGAGGCAGTAGAGTCCAAGGGGGAGGCATTGGCCGTTAGTTTGGACATTGCGAAGGCCTTCGATCGGGTTTGGCACAAAGCGCTTCTTTGGAAGCTCCCTTCCTATGGGCTTCCCGAGAAATTGTGTGATTGGATCAGCAGCTTTCTTGCATATCGGAGCATCAAGGTCGTTGTAGATGGTGCAAGCTCCGATTGCAAGCCTATTAATGCTGGTGTTCCACAAGGCTGCGTGCTATCGCCAACGCTGTTTCTTCTGCATATCAATGATATGTTGCAAACCCGTAACATTCATTGCTATGCAGATGACAGCACTGGTGATGCTCTTTACACCGGCCGAGCCAATATTTCTCGGGAAAACGTCTCCGAGTGCCGGGACAAACTTGTGTCTGAAGTCAAGTCTTTGCTGAACAGAGTCTCGGATTGGGGGCGACTAAATCTAGTCCAGTTCAACCCCCAGAAGACACAAGTTTGCGCGTTAACCGCTAAATAGAACCCCTTTGTCGTATCTCCTCAGTTTCAAGACACTCCCCTTATTGCCTCAGCCAGCATCGAAATCCTCGGCGTCGACATATCGAGTGACGTGCAGTTTCGTGGTCACTTGGAAGAGAAGGCCAAATTGGCCTCTAAAAAACTTGGCGTGCTCAGCAGAGCGGGACAGTATTTCATGCCGGCACACCGCCTGCAACTTTACAAGGCGCAGGTTCGGCCGCACATGGAATACTGTTCCCATCTCTGGGCTGGGGCTCCCCAGTACCAGCTCCTTCCACTTGACCGCATCCAGCGCAGAGCGGCTCGGATCGTCGACGACCGAGTGCTTTCCGATCGGCTCGATTCACTGGCACTGCGAAGAGATGTTGCATCTCTTTGCATTTTCTTTTGCATATACCATAGAGAGTGCTCCGAGGAATTCTTCGGATTAATCCCAGCTGCCAAATTTCGTGAACGCACTACGCGGCAAACGTCCCGATACCATCCACACCATCTGGATGCTTGGCGGTCCACCAGCCACCAGCGATTTTTCCGGACCGATACGACCTGAGGACCTTCAAGAAAAGAGCGTACTCCTTTCTAAAGGGCCGGCAACGCACCTGCAATTCCCCTGGTGTTGCGGTTGATCATGGGCGGCGGTAGTCACTTAACATCAGGTGAGCCGCATGCTCGTTTGCCCCCTCTTCTATAAAAAAATGCTCATGTTCATCTTCAAGAGATCGAATAATATTATGGTGCACCCTATCATTTGTCAAACGGTCTACATATTGAGTAAAAGTTTCAGATTCTCGAGATAAAATAAGACGTTCGCGATCAGCTGTGGGACGTAATTCTCTCTCAGTGTAGGTTTCGGACTCCCGAGATAATGTATGCCGTTCGCGGTCAGCTGTGAGATGTAATTCCCTCTCAGTGTAGGTTTCGGACTCGCGAGATAATGTATGCCGTTCGCGGTCAGCTGTGAACCGCAATTCTCGTTGTGAAGCAATTTCAGCTCCTCGGGATAACACATGTTGCTCTCGGTCAATGGTAAGCCTTAGCTCTCGTTGAGAAGAACTTTGAGACTCCCGTGATGTAGCTCGTGTCGCTCTGTCAGCTGCTAATCGAATCTCTCTTTCTGGAGAACTTTTTTAGCTCGAGAAGTTGAGGCACTAACTCTCATAGAGTTTAACCGATGTGCTCTTTCCTCTGCCGATTCTTGAGAACGCACATTTCTCATTCTCTTAGCTTCTCTCGAATTTCGAGATAAAGATAATCGTTTTTTAGGTGCCATTGTGTATTTTATTTTTAATCGATGGCATTCAGTTACCTAACAAAATAATCTACGTTAGAGGTCCTAACTATAGCTACCATACACTTAAAAAAATCTAAATGCCTACTTAAATAATAAAACGGATCCTAAATAATTCCTTAAATCCAAAATTAAATTCTTAAAAATATATAAGTAGGTACCTAAACTACGTCTAATAGAATGAAATAACCTATTTAATTGAAAGCGGGGGAGAGAGGCGGTGAATGCTCATAGTATACCACGCAGCCGGCTCCGTGGTTATGTGGAGACTTTTACCCACTAAACACCGCCTTTATGGATTGGCTTACCGATGTGACGAGAGATCTCTAAGCCGTATATGGACGCGACCGTCCTTGGCAGAAAGGAGGGCGCAAAGCTCGCACTCGGACCCCCCACCTTTTTATCCCTCCCGCCGCGAGCCGCGTCGAGCGCGGCGACCGTTACACAAAAATAATCCTTATAGCATGATTCAGTATTCATGAGCGATGGCTTATTAGCGTATTTCATGTATAACATTGGTGTTTCTGTACCGATTTCTATGATTCTTTTTTATTGAATAGATAATAATGTTAACTTTTTTTTAAGCTATTGCATAGCTTCTATCGCGGGCCTTGAGCGCGGGGACCGAATCCAGAAATTCCGTAACGAAAAAAAACCTCACGCTCCCCACTCCGACGGGCACGGAGGTGTGGCTTGAAGGCCGTGCATTGTCTAACGTCGTTTCTTTTCGGCAGTCTTCGACACGGTGTTGATAAATATTCCTGAATAACCAACAGCTACTGTAAGATAATAAAACCCACATGTATTGTAAAATAATAAAAATATTTTAAACAATATTAACTTTTTATTTATTTAATAAAAGAAAAAAAATTGTTTTCTTATCGGTCACCACGCTCAAAAAGTGTAACTTGAATTAATATC